ACGTGTATGTATGGGCATCTAGGGGAAAGCATGATATGCACCTGTGTGGATTTACTTGTGTGTGTGTGTGTGTGTGTATGTGTGTGTGCTTACGGAGGAGGCTGCATGTAGCAGTGTGCGCTGGGACATGGGTCTAGGCAGTCAGGCGTTGGTCTAGGTAGCCAATGGGGATAGACAGCTGCATATTCATACAAAAGAATATTGGAGCAGTAGAGCCATTCACTGAACCTCCTTTTGTGTTTTTCAGTGAAGAACATGAGACGAGATCATTTCTGAAGAAGAACCCTTTGCCTCTGAGATGGAGTCTAGTGCCTGGTAGGTTCACAATTCCCAAAGTTAATCAGCCATGTAGAAGGCACCACAGGGAAAAGGATAGGAGTGCTGGCTGTGGGAAATGCTCTCCACTGTCCTGGTCCAAGCCATTCCCAACAGAAAGTTCTCTTCAGAGAACTAACTCTCTTTCTTTCTCCTTTCCCCTTAATAGTGTGATGCTTCCTCTGGTTTCCTGCCTCCGCTCATTGCAGCTCTGGCCTCTCCTGCTCCTGGCCTCAGCATTCTCTCCACACAGTGTTTGGTCTCTTCGCTCCCGGAACCCCCTGGCTGCTCGGCCACTTTGTGCCCGTCGCAGTTCCTCAGCTTCCAGGCCCGTTTGCATCTGGGACAGGATCTCGCCACCAGAGAGAGATTCCCGTTTCATCTCATTGCGCCAGCGATCTCTGACCCCGCGAGGGGCAGATCTGCGTCATGTGGTGCGGCTGAAGCGCCAGGCCCATGGGGCCCGTCCTGCCACGCCCTCTGGGTTTGAGGATGGGCTACCCTCATCCCAGTACCCCTGGGCTATTGTCTGGGGCCCCACAGTATCAGACGAGGATGGAGGTGACACCAACTCAGCTAACCCAGGCTTCCCACACCTGAGTTACACCTTTGTTTCACCACATGGGATGGCAACAGTGCAACCAAACTCCCACTCGCTGCTGCACAATGCAGGCCTCAATCTGCGTGACACCCCAGCCACTCTGCGGCCCTTTTTGTTTGGGCCACGGGGGGAAGGTAAATCTGCTTTCCATGCCCTTCACTCTGCTCTCTATAGTAGTTCCTGCTGGGAGAGAGCAGGGCTGTACTGTAGACAGCCTCCCCCTAACCTCAACCAGCACTCTTGTCCGTTATCCTCCAGCACCTTTGGCTGGGTGTTGGAGGAGACTCTCACATTTTCTCTTTCCTATCCCCCACACCCTCTCTCCCTGTCTTTCAGGTGTGGATCCTCAGCTGTACGTGACTATCACAATCTCTATCATTATCGTTCTTGTTGCTACTGGGATAATATTCAAGTTCTGGTGAGTGGATTCTCAGTGTGTAGCTGTTATCTGACTTTGGCATCACCAAAGATGCTCTAGCAAAGCATGTTTTCAGTGTTTTTGGGTGTGCAGAGGAACACAGCCCCTCCTTTGACTTGTGAGTGTAGACTTTTAGTGATGGATCTCACTGTTTTCAAGGGTATGTTTGAAAAGGAGAGGCTTGAAGGGTAGCATCTGCTGTTCTTAATGTGTTGGGTGTGTTGAGCGCATAGACCCCACTGCTCCCTGGATTCTGCTTGTTTCAAAGCAGCAGCAGGGGGGAGGCAGGGGCTCCCTGTGTCTCAGTAACCTTCTCTCCCTGCAGTTGGGACCGTAATCAGAAGCGGCGGCGTCACTCTGGTCAGCAGAGTGAGATACGGCAGCCAGAGAGTCAGCAGCCACTCACAGACCTGTCACCTGCCACAGTCAGCATCCTTGGGCCCTATGGAGACACTCTGGCCCCTGCCTCTGAGACAGAGGTGCTCAGGCAGGTCCAGGAGGGTACAGAGAAACTGGGGGGCCAGGGGAAGAGCAGTGCCTTCCAGCTCAATCGGTGAGTGAAAAAAGATAGGACAATGAAACGGGGACAGAGGCAAGGAGGGAGAGAGAGAAAGAGAGAGACAGAGTGAAAGGCAAGCAACAGGAGGCCATAGCAGTGTGATTCCTTGATGTGTGTCTGTGATCTCTCCCTTGAATGGGGTGTGGATTAAAGGCCAGAACATGATTGTTTAGTAGGGAAACAGGAAAAGAGTGCCACCAGTGGCAAGGGACTTAGGAGCCATCTCCCAGCACAAGCAGGTCTGTGAGCCTGGGGAACAACATAGAGTCCAATTGTGTGTGTGTGGCGGGGGGGAAGCAACAAGGATGCCTAGGAAATAGGCTGGGGGAACAGCCCTTCCTGCCAGGAGGGGAGTGGCAGATTGAAAAGGAATCTCCCACTGCTAATTCTTTTTTTCCCCCAGAATCCCACTGGTGAACCTGTGACAACATTGGAGAGCAGCAGAGCTGGCTCCCCCAACTACTCCTGTCCTATCCAAGGAGTACGCGTTTCTGCTGCCTCTGCTATAGTGGGAACAAACTCCCTTGTGCCACGGCCCTCTATCACCATCTCTAACTTTGCCAAAACAGGATGTACTGGGCAACAGACAGTCTGGGCCTCGTTGGTCTCTCGATGGGGGCAAGAATAGGGGGTAAGCCCCAGGATGGGATGACGAGAGCGGAACCCAGGAGACAAGATCTTTTGGTGTTGTGAAATATTAACCCCCTCTGGCCCTCTCCCAACACACTCACGCACTTTGATCCCTGTGAATAACCCACCAGTGCATGTCTGATATGGGGGTGGGGGAGGTGGAGAGGCAGGAGTACTACCCCCATCCCCACAGGCTCAGTCCCTCAGTGTGTCCCTTCTCCTTCTGTCAGTGTGCTTTAATGTGTCTTCTGAACAGCTGGAGCTCTGTCACCACGGAATTCCCTGCCTGGGCAGTGATGGATACAGGCTGGCAGGTGTGGAGGCTGCGGGAGGGAGGTTGGGGGGGGGGGTGGAGAGGGCTTGTCTCTCTTCATTGTCTTGACCTCTCCATGATGGTTCTAGGAGCTGGAAGCAGAGCCTGCTGGTGTGAGGAGGAAGAGCTCACTCTTCCTCCTGGCTCCTGTCTCTTGGAAAGAGTCTTGCTGCTCCCTCTGTTTTTCAACTCTTTCTGTTCTCTCTCCCAATGCACATCAGCTCTGATGCTCCTCTCTCTTCCTCTGTCACCCAACGTTGTCCTCTCAGTTTTTCTTTCTCTTCCCATTCTTCCTCCCTTTCCATCTCTTTCTGGTTATGTCAGCAGAATACTTTTCATTCTAGCCTGTTTCTAGTCACTCTGATCTTTTGTAAACCTCCGTCATCCTGGTTTTGCCTCTGCTCCCAGGTGATTTCAGCAAGTGTGAAGCAAAATCCTCTGGCTATTTTGTGTTTCAGGAAGTGTGAAAAAGAATCTGGAATGGGTCCTTTAAAGGCAGGGCTACTGCCAAAGCAGCTGAAGGGGGAAGCCTGGCCTTGGCTGGGCTTGTAGTGGGGGAAGAGCCTTGAGCAGAACTCTCTGTCAGGGTCTGGGGGGCCGACGGGTAAGTGAAGAAAGGGTAGAAGGTGTTTTCATCAGAGGCACTGAGAGACTGACCCTATATGAGGTAGGCAGGAGAGGGCTCCTACCCTGTCTGTTAGAAAAGGGAGCCATTCAGAGCCTTCACCAAGGAACTTTTTGAGGAGTATTCTGCATTACTCAGTTACTTGTGGAATGCTCCTGGCTCTACTCTGGCCATGAAATCAGCACATCAGACAGTGCTTGCTAGAGTTGAGAGGATCAAGGTGTGACTGCAACACAGTCAAGAGCACTTGAACCAGCTTTCATCCAGCTTGCATGGGTACCAATAGGTGTAAAGATGCAGTGTGGATCAGCTGTCTGAGCACGTATGCATGGTCTGTGCTGAAAAGCCATGGCATTTACAGCTTTGCTGCTGATGTTGCACATTAGGCAGATTAAAGCTAGTTTGGGTGTCTTCAATGGCAGTGCACACCTCCCCAGTGACAGAGATGGAAATGGGAAAGGCAAAGATGGTCAGAGCAGGCCAAGTGCCTAGGATATAAAGACCCAGGGCAAAATTCTACAGAGCCTATTATGCCTCTAAGTAGCATTTATCCATCTAAGGCCCAGACAGATTCCATGCTGCCTCCCAGACACAGATACCTGTTATGCAGATTTTACATCACATTCCCCTACCTGCATAGCTGGGCTGGGGTGACTGGGATGTATCTATCTAACTCTGCATCTGCCTGGCAAAGAGCATATATTCCATGTACATCCCCAAAACAAAGTGGGGAGAGGAGATCGGATAGGAGATGTACCCACCTTTTAGCTGAATAGCTGAGTTGTTAGGGCATTTGCCCAGGAAGCAAGAGGTGGAGTACAATATAACTAAGTCTTAGACATCTAGGTTCTACTAAGAGGCATAACAGGCAAAGTAGACTTTTTTCCTCTGTTTTTAGTGACAAGAAGAGCATATGTTTACAGGAAGAGAGCTTTTACCATCTATGTCACTGTAAAGTGGAGACAAAGCTCTGTAGCTTTACCATCATATAGCTGGTTCAAGGAAAGCTGTGGGTATGGTTATAGCATTGATTTTGCCTACCTTCCTTGTGTAAAATACTGCCTAAGGCAAGTCTCCACCAGAATTTTACTGTAAGATAGCAAAACATTTGTGAAATGTTTTATAGTCATACACCTCTACACCTTTTTGGCAGTGAATGCCAAAGAGCAAAGGATCTAGAGCAGTGGTCTCCAAAGTGGGGTGCATGCACCCCAGGGCATGCGCAAGACAATCCATTGGGGTGTGGGAAGAAAATATTATAACTTCTATTTATATTTATATAAATATACATATATTGGGGGTGCATGCTCAAGTTTTTTTTACTGATGGGGTGCACGATCAAAAAAGTTTGGAGACCACTGATCTAGAGCACAGACACTCAATAGATAAAATACAGGAGCAGCAAAAGATCTGGTCCTGCCTATCCACTTAGTTGCACAAGGTGATCTACTAGATCATCTGAAGGTTTGCTCTTGGCTGCACTAACCTTTGTTTCAAAAGTTAAGGTCTCCAGAGCTATCTGGATTCCCCAATATTGCCTTATTTTATTTTCTCATGAAATGGCCATTCAAATAGAACCACTCCACAAGGTAAAATGGGAAACAAAACAAAAGGTCTCATGTGTTTACCTTGTGTGACTCACCAATTAGACTATTTACATGAAAAGTAATCCATAATGAGCTTTATAAAAACTGAGAACAAACAGCAGAAATTAGAAAAAAATTATTAAGTAGAAGTATAGGTTTATTATGTTGTAAAACTAGGTTGAGCTCTGACCATGAACTGTTTTGTTGGGTTTTTTTTAATTTTGGATCCACTTCAGGCCTGCTTATATAAGAAAAGTTTAATTGGTTTAACTATATCAGTTTACAATGTAATCACTTAAGCTGGTCTTAACCTTTGCTTAAATTAGTTGTGTTTGCATAGATAAATTATTAAATTAAGCCACATGCATTTATATTAGAGGGGTTTTTAACCAAATCAGTTAGATTGCTCTAAAATCAATTTAATCCAATCAATTCAACTTTTCAAGTAAAGATACAACCTGATTTTAGGTTCTTGCAGCCTTAGTCCATTCACCAAATGAACTCTGTTCTGCCTTTCCATTTCCTGCAAGACAGAAGCGACATAAGAAATTTGATGGCACACATTAGACTTGCACTAGTGACTGATATAGGGGTGTCCCAAGTTCAGCTGAAAAGAACTTCCTAAACTTGACAAGCCAGATAATCTTCAATACTTTGCTTTCCTTTATTTTTCTTTTATTTTTATTAACACCAACCAGACAAATCTAGGAATTTAAATGCAAAAGCATTGTAGTGGTAAGGGTACAGTGGTAAGGCTGCCCAAGGATTCCAAAAATCAGGACATGCAGAAGAGAAGGCACCTGTGGCAGCAACTCCAGTATATTATACATGTGGTATGTTTTTAGTTCATTTTTATATTTAAATATTTAGGTAAATATGTTTCTATAAGTGCCATTAACTGTCTCACGTGAAACCTCCAGGATGTGCCACACAATGTGAATTTATAATTGATACATGTTTTTGACTTGAGCAGAACAATCCTAAAACATTATGTCAACAAAAACTGCTTGCATTTATTAAATAATCTCATTGGGCCTGATTCTTCCCTGCCTAAAACCTTCTGAAAATCATTTTCATTTGCATCAAGGTGGCAGGGGAAGGGTAAAACACTCCAACATCATTTTTCCAAAACAGGGGGACAGGCCAGCTGTCTCTCCTTCTGTTTCTGGATCTACCAGATTCCTGCTTCTTGGATGAGAGCTGGGCAATTTATTTTACCAGCAAATAATTTATTCACCAAAAATGTAGCTTGCGGTCACCTGAAACTATCTGCTAAATCAGGGTGAATTTGGCAAATTGTGTTTTGAAAATGTGGAATCGTTCCGTTTTTCAGCTACATTCACAAGGCATTTTAGGTGCTGTTTACAAAATGGAGGAGGAGGAGGAGGTCATCCTCTCATGTTCTACAACTAGGACACTCATCTGGGACTTGGCATACTGAGATAAGAGATCTCCTTTCTGGGTAATTCAGAGTAGGAACTTGCCCTAACCACAAGGTGCAAGATATTCTGGAGTGGCTTTCATTCTGTCCTGTGAAAGCTATTTGAACTTGTCATTAAATGTTCACTTAAGCAGTTAGGTACCCCAACCACTGGGTTAGAGTTGATCTCACATGCTTTCTCCTCCTTAACGAACATTTAAGTGAGAGAATTTGAACCTAGGTGTCCCAGACCCCGCTGAGAGCCTCAGCCACACATGGTATAAGAGGAAAACTGCCTTCACCTCTGTGGCACCTGCCTCACTTCTGAGCGTAGGCCTTTGTTTCCAGATTTTCTTTTTTTCCTTTATTTAAAATGCCTGGAAACAAAACCTGATGTGTTTGGTTCTCCAGAAATTCTGGAAACATGTTACTGTTAGGTGTGGCTACCCTGAAACTTTGGTTTGGGGTTTTTTTCTGTTCTGCAACCAAACCAAAAAAACAATTATTGGCACAGCTCTAGAGTCAAGACTTTCACAACAGAGCCTCTGGGCTAGGTCCAGATCTCTTGTCACATCCAAACCAGCATCCCATTGTAGCCCCAACCCTGTTCTAGGCTGGAAGGCTGGGAAATAGGGAAAAAACACACCTGCTTGTCCCCTTCCCCCTCTCCTCTCATTTAATCTCACCCTGTGATTTCCATCTCTACATTCCCAACCTATATCATTGTCTCAGTCCCTGTCTGCTCTCCTGCTGTTTCATTATCCTCATTCTTTTCTTATTTTCTGTCCGACATTCTGTCTTGTTCTGCTTCTCCCCCATCCATTCCTCTCTGTTCTTCCCTTTCTGCCTCCTCCCTCAGTCTCACCCTCTCTCCCTCCCCCACCCTTGTGCGCTGTGATATATATTTTTGTAGGATTCTCTTCTTGTGGTGAAATATTCAATTCTTGTGGGATGTAAGTTTCAACATTTTTAAATAAACCTTTGCAAAATACTGAAAACAAAACTGCTGCTGTAGAAAGTGGTGTAGAGTGCAGATGAAAAGGGGCACCACCCCATGGAGGCTGGCTTGAGGTAGCACATACACAGCCACCTGCTGCTGCCCAGACAGCAGTGACAGTTCTGCCCTGTGCCCACCAATCCTCTATTTCATCCCTCTTTTCCAAGGGTTGCTTCTTTCTCCCTGCTTCCATGTAACCCCAGCCTTCATAGCAAGATGCCCCGGCTCTGCAAGGGTGGGAGTGGATTCAGTCTCCATGTTCAGATGTTGTTTCATCTCTTGCATGCAGTTTCCCAGCTACAGGTTTGCACTGTTTATCCAGTGTTCATTTCTGATTGAAGCCAGGGGAACAGTCAGAGAAGAGAACTGAAGGAAAAGGGAGGGAGATGGTAAGATGAGGGAGCAGAAATCTCCCTCGCTTCGTTCCCCGTGGCTGCCTCCGCGATTTCTATTTACGGCCTTGCTGCCTCCCCTCCTGGCCACAGTGCTGCTGCTGTTGCTGGTTTCCAGGGCTGCTCTGTAATTAAGCATCCTTGTCTCTGATAAACTCCTCCACTTCATTAACTCTAGCAGTGATCAGTGCAGGGGTGGGGAACAAAGGGGAGGAGGCTGCAAAGCAGAGCCATATGTACCACCTGATTTTAATGGTCAGGTTCTCTGGTAATTCCTCCAGCCACTGGAAAGGGGACCCAGTCCCTCCCCACCTCATGTCCTGTGCCCTCTATTATTGTCCAGGGCTTCTACCCACTGGAAGTGGAATCTAAGGTGATCCAATTACTGTTCCTGACCCCCAGTTACTGTGCAAGGAACTTCACCACTGGAAATGGGACCAGCCTCCCCTCTCCCCCACCCTCACTCTCACCCCCACTACTGTCCAAGGTTGCCCAGCCACTGGAGATGTGCCATTCCCTCCACCTCTTACTCTCCCATTGCTGATGAGAGCCAGGCCCATTCCTGTTATGGTCCAAACACCAGTGGTGGAGTCCATGTTCCCTCCCCACAGTCACTGTCCATGGATTTTGAGCTGTAGGAGATGGGATCCAGCTCCTCCCACCCCATTCACCATCCCCAGGCCTCTATCCACTGGAGTTGGGACTCAGTCCTCTCCATCAACTAAAGGTACAAAGACCCACTGGACACAGACCCAATCTTCACCTCTAATAACTACCCAGTACCCCTGCCTCCATTATGGTCTAAAAACTTCTATCCACTCGACCTGGGCCTAGGTTTTCCCAGATGCTGACCAGGTGTCTCTGCCTATTGGACATGTAGGTCAGCATCCTACCTTCCATCACTGCCCAAAGGTCTCTGGCCATTGGATATGGGAGTAGCCCCTCTCCCACCAGCTCCTATGCAAGGACCTCTACCCACAGAGCTGGAGACTCAACAACAGTTCTTGTTCATGGCCTTTCAGCCACTGGGCAGCAGAGGGCCTGCCCCTAGAGTTGCTATCCAAGGGCCTCTGCCAGCAGGCCTGGGATCTAAACCCTCCATTACTGTGCAAGAGCCTCTGTGCACTTCCTGGGGGACCCCATCCCTAAAGTTACTCTCTAAGGGCCTCTGCTTACTTGATGTGGGACTCTGACCTTTCCCATCCCCCACTTGCTGTTCAAAGGTCTTTGTACCCTGGACATGGGATCCAGATCCTTCAGTGACTGTCCAAAGAACTTCACCATCCAAAGGTGTCATCCAGATGTCCACATCTGGATGCCAAAGGTCCTCTATTCATTGGATATGAGACCTGGGCCCCATATGACACTGTCCAAGGGCACCCAACCACTGTAGATAGTTAACAGCCTCCCCCTACCAATAACTGTACAAGGCCCTGGACTACCAGGACCTGGAAACCAACCCTCTCATGCTATCCAAGGTTGTTTGGACATGGGACTTAGCTCTGCACCTCCAATTATTACTCAAGGACTTTTGCCACTGAAGATGTCACCCAAACCCCACAGTTGCTGTGAAGGGCCCTCTGCCCATGAGAACTGGAATTCATTTCCCCATGTTTTCCAAGGGCCTCCAGTCACTGGCCCTGATACCTGACACTCCCAGTTACTGTCAGAGGCTCTTTGCTGCTGTACTTTGCCCCAGCTCCCACATGCTTAGCACTAGA